TGTCATTTCCAAAGTTCTTATAGCAAGTTTCTGCAATAAAATGAATACCTCACAACTTGAGGAACTAATTTATAAATCAAAGTGACTGTGTGAACTCACTAACATGGATTCAATCTCATACTGGTAGTCTGGTATACATGTCTTATTTCTTTCCTTGAGTGAACACGCTTTTTCATCTTGTAGAATCCCTTAAAACAACACCGTAGTCAAACATCAAACCTTTTTACCTTGACCCAAATGTCTAACGCATCTCATTCACCCTCGATAATGATACAAGAATGAATATGGGAACCCTTACTCTATGCATCGACAAGAATACCTGTCAAACAAGCATGGAGTTGCTATTGGCGCATGGCGTCGTGTTCTCCTTGCAGGTTTTAACATTTTCAACGTATATAATTGTCACCACATAGCGACAAACCTATTTTACAGTTGAGTAGAATGCATCGAACCTGACCTCACAATGAGCGGTGTGATAATTCAAGACATAGATAATCACAAGCATCTAGACTTGACCCTTCAAAATAACTGTAACTGGGATATTAACATAAATTCCATTGGCTGGCTTATTATGAAATTAATCTCTTGTATAAACTGGAATCTTTCAAATGTATATTTGTCTCTGGAATCATATCTTGTGGGCTTGTGGGCTGATTACCTTGATCTAAAATGAATGTTTTATTAAAACATTCAGTAACGCTTTTGCTTGTAAATGATCACATTAATCTAGATAGACTTATGATTCAGTAAAAAGGAATTCATTTGAGTATCTGGTTTCAATCCGCATTATGTTTGGACAACACAACCAATTTTCTATTGACAAGTTAAAGAGATTTTCGTGAATACTACCCATTGCATAACACCGCTATTGAGCACAAACTCAAATGGCCTCTCCCTGTGACAGGTGTTAATTGAGAATGTATTCTACTACGATTAGTTCCCATGAAGTAGACTTGTAAATATATAGAGTGATTACCTCCAAGACCTGGTGATCTCGAACAAAGGCCAGTTAATGTTTTAACAGGCACAAGGTTGATACAAAAGTTGAAGGGGTAAAGAAATGAAATAAGCCTAAACTGAATTTGACATTTTCATGACATAATATATTTGGTGTTGCCACAATTAATCATCGGAAGATGAAACATATCATGTGAAATATATCTCAACTATCATTTGAGGGCCTTTAGCGATCTTCTTAAATCTGCCGTACAACACCCTAAGTAATAATAAGATACATAATTTTCAAATCATGTATGACCTATTTCAACTTATTACTGACCCTACGAAGGTCACCCCAAACTCTAGCACTTTGTTAGATATTAGTAGATTAATCAAAAACTCGTGGAGATCGAGACCGTATCATCCCGTGAGACGTTGAGTGAACACATGAATCAGTATCATTATAATCTCAGTGAGCTAAACTCAGTAAATTCGATCACATTTCAAAACAAGTTCAGATTTTATAGCACCCAGTCTCTTATTCCCAGATAACAACACCGACTTAACATGAACGAGATTATACTGTAATAACAAAATCCTACTTCACGGAATACCCCATTACGCCATGGCAGGGGTTCACTTTCATGGCATGTAATACACTCAGTCAGTCACTGTCATATAGTCCATATAGCTTAGGTGTATGGAATTTGTATTCATACCTAACATTGAAAGGGCTGGGGTGGGTGAGTTGAAATTAAACATATTTGGCGCGCTTGTGGATAACAACTAAAACATACACTTGAAACTGACTTTTGAAAATGCTCGCCATACTAGCGGTAAATAGAACAGTCAACATCAATTTTTGACACATAGAACAAGAAGAATGCAGATGGGTGAAGTTAAACTAATATATAGAATTGGTTCCTAGTTGGTCGCATAGGACGGCGAATAGTAAACACCTGCTCTATATCCCAACTTTAAAAAAATTATCACTTCACGCGTGAAACACAGTTGCATTGATATCAAGCACAAAGGGATAATATGAATATATGGCGTATTCCTGCAGTTTTCATGAATAAATATGTCACATGCAAGATACATTATCAACAATAAGAACTCTAACAGATCAAAAGATTCGACAAATAGTTCAGTCTATACACTCATGGAACATGTGTTAAGTACAAATTCTAGTACTTTTTGAGTTGAGCACCATCCGGGATACGAACTCACACCCTCAGTCAGGCACCCTATCGCCAGCACACAAAATCAGCCTCCTAACCAACTCAGCTACCGCGACTTCCACAAAAAATGGAAGTCGGACAACTGGTAATCTAGACTGCGGGCTTTGTGTACCCCTCTGATAAGTGTTAATTGGCACGGCTCCCACGGCCGAAAGCTATGATTACACAATGCCATACACTCATGGGCCGGGGATCCTTGGGGAAAAGGAGAAATTGAAAGAAGTAGTGGTAAAATCCTTCCTAAATTTCCAAAGATTTCCAAGCCTTGGAAACATCATCTTTCCAATTTAGGAAATTTTTGGAAATACGATCTTTCCAAATTGGAAATTTTTGGAAATCACCATTTTTTTTCTTGTGATAGAGCCTATCAAACGTGCAAGGAAGGCTTGTGGGATGTCACGCCAGATTCTCTCAAATTCTGTTGCAAGGTCAAGGACATTATCTGGCGGATGAGGAAGACTGTGTAGACGTCGATCCATCTCGTCCCAAACATGCTCTATCGGGGAGAGATCCGGTGAATTTGCAGGCCAAGGCAGTAAGTCAACGTTGTGGTATTGCAAGAAATCCATAGCAACCCTTGCCGTATGAGGGCGGGCATTGTCCTGTTGGAATGTTAACCCAGGGCCATGACGTTGCAGAAAAGGAATTGCCACAGGTCGAAGAAACTGATCCCTGTAGCCCACACCAGTTAAGTTGCCCTGAACAATCACCCAAGGAATTCTTTGGCATGCTGTTATTCCACCCCAAATCATCACGGAAACACCACCAAAGCGATTCCTCTCCAAGACACACGCCTGTGCATGACGTTCTCCCATACGTCTATAGGCACGTTGACGTCCATCACTATGGGAAATGTTAAACCTGGCCTCATCTGTAAAAACAATATTTCTCCACCAAAACAAGGGTCTGCGGACATGATATCGGTACCACATTCGGCGAGCTTGTCAATGACGTTGTGTCAGGATAGGCCGTATGGTGGGACGTCGTGGTCTGATCCCGTGATGACGTAAATGTTGTCAAACTGTGTTGGGATGGATACGGCGAAGTCCTGGGATGGTTCGGGCAGTCATCACTGCAGTCTGAAACCTGTGGCGAAGATGGGTCACCCTTATCCATCTGTCCTGTCTTGGCGTTGTTACTCTTGGACGTCCAGAACGTGGCCAATTGATGACGTCATTTGTGTTCTGGTAGCATCTCACCAGTGCAGAAATGGTGTTCCGGTGGCAGTGGAAATGTGCAGCCACTTGTCATTGAGACATTCCGCCATGGACCATCCCAATGGCCTCATGACGTTGTGCAGATGTGAGCCGTGGCATGCTATGCGTTTCAATAGCCGTTTAATTTTTTGAACTATCACAAGGGCAGGGGTTGACCTTTCCAAAGTGACAGTATTGTGTGGCATTCATTTGCTCTGTTTCTCTTTCCCGGAATGCACGTGCAACAACGTATTGCACATCTCAAGGACGAACCCACTGACGTCATGGAACGTGACACGTGTATGCATGTTGGATACATGTCACTAATCTCTGAGTCTAAATCCTTATGTGTCTACACAGTTTCTTTATGTTCCTTGTGAGACTGTGTGAGATATGATGTGTAGTTGACACTGACACTGTGAGATATGATGTGTAGTTGACACTGACACTGTGAGGTATGATGTGTAGTTGACACTGACACTCTGTGAGGTATGATGTGTAGTTGACACTGACACTGTGAGATATGATGTGTAGTTGACACTGACACTCTGTGTGAGGTATGATGTGTAGTTGACACTGACACTGTGTGAGATATGATGTGTAGTTGACACTGACACTCTGTGAGGTATGATGTGTAGTTGACACTGACACTGTGAGATATGATGTGTAGTTGACACTGACACTGTGTCAGATATGATGTGTAGTTGACACTGACACTGTGTGAGATATGATGTGTAGTTGACACTGACGCTCTGTGAGGTATGATGTGTAGTTGACACTGACACTGTGAGATATGATGTGTAGTTGACACTGACACTGTGTGAGGTATGATGTGTAGTTGACACTTACACTGTGTGAGATATGATGTGTAGTTGACACTGACACTGTGAGATATGATGTGTAGTTGACACTGACACTGTGAGATATGATGTGTAGTTGACACTTACACTGTGTGAGGTATGATGTGTGTGTGTGAGGTATGATGATGTGTAGTTGACACTTACACTGTGTGAGGTATGATGTGTAGTTGACACTGACACTGTGAGGTATGATGTGTAGTTGACACTTACACTGTGTGTGAGGTATGATGTGTAGTTGACACTGACGCTCTGTGAGGTATGATGTGTAGTTGACACTGACACTCTGTGAGGTGTGATGTGTAGTTGACACCTACACTGTGTGAGGTATGATGTATAGTTGACACTGACACTCTGTGAGGTATGATGTGTAGTTGACACTGACGCTCTGTGAGATATGATGTGTAGTATGCACTGTGTGTGTGATGTGTAGTTATGATGATGTGTAGTTGACACTGACACTGTGAGATATGATGTGTAGTTGACACTTACGTTGTGTGAGGTATGATGTGTAGTTGACACTGACGCTCTGTGAGGTATGATGTGTAGTTGACACTGACCCTCTGTGAGGTATGATGTGTAGTTGACACTGACGCTCTGTGAGGTATGATGTGTAGTTGACACTGACGCTCTGTGAGATATGTCATTTATAGCTCTTTTTTATGATGTGATATAAAATATCACACTCTTCCTGATATGTGTGAAAACTGACTCACTTATCATTTGTGTTCATGTTTCACATTTGTGATGTAGCATATGCACTACAGGTACTGATCTGAACGAAGAAGCAGGCTTCATGGAGGATAAGGATGTTATGGCCATCACATCTCAGTCAGCCAGTCAACAGGTGAGGGGTTTTGTCAAAATCTCAGTCAACAGGTGAGGGGGACTGTCATTAGATCTCAGTCAACAGGTGAGGGGGACTGTCATTAGATCTCAGTCAACAGGTGAGGGGGACTGTCATCAGATGTCATTCAGATCTCAGTCAACAGGTGAGGGGACTGGGATCTCGTCAGGTGAGGGGACTGTCATTAGATCTCAGTCAACAGGTGAGGGGACTGTCATCAGATGTCAGTCAACAGGTGAGGGGGACTGTCATCAGATCTCGGTCAACAGGTGAGGGGGACTGTCATCAGATGTCAGTCAACAGGTGAGGGGGACTGTCATCAGATATCAGTCAACAGGTAATAATAATAATACAGTAAATTTGTTATGCGCCAAAACTCCATTCACTTCGTGTCTGCTCATGGCACTACACAAAATTAAAATACACTGCAGTAGAGGTGCTATATTTTCACTGGTATATCAATCTTTATTATCCTCCGCAACACGTTTTGCAGGGGGTATTAAAATGGACTCCTTCTGTGCATCCGTGCACCTTTTTTTTTCCTGGAGCAGAACTCTTAAACCGTTCAATGTTTCTTCACCAAACTTGGCACAAAGATAGATCTGTGGTGAACTGGTTCCTTTTGGTAGTTTTGGATTTCTGGATAAAAACTTTGTTGTGTGTGTTTCCATGGCAACAATTTTGGCTTCAACTGACTTTAGTTGTAGTGCTCCTTTCTAGAGCTGAACTTTGAAACCTTTCAGTAGTCTCCTTCCACTTTGCTATGTACACACCACAACATTGGGCATAATCATAATTCGTAGACATATTCATGAAGAATATTTGCCATTACGGGGGATATTGATGACTTTGTCTTCATATAGAACTTTTGGAAGAGATGAGTCTTTACTGCCACACTGAAGGATCCAACCGTTACTTTTAGAGAGGAGATGGGATACTGCCACATTGAAGGATCCAACCGTTACTTGTAGAGAGGAGATGGAATACTGACACACTGAAGGATCCAACCGTTACTTTTAGAGAGGAGATGGGATACTGCCACACTGAAGGATCCAACCGTTACTTGTATAGAGGAGATGGCATACTGCCACACTGAAGGATCCAACCGTTACTTTAGAAGAGATGGGATACTGCCACACTGAAGGATCCAACTGTTACTTGAAGAGAGGAGATGGCATACTGCCACACTGAAGGATCCAACCGTTACTTTTAGAGAGGAGATGGGATACTGCCACACTGAAGGAACCAACCGTTACTTGTAGAGAGGAGATGGGATACTGCCACACTAAAGGATCCAACCGTAACTTTTAGAGAGGAGATGGGTGACCTTCACATAATTTTCAAGGTCATGGTGACACTTTGACGATTTCAGCATGTAAACATGCATGTTAAGCTATCTCAAGAACCGTTCACTGGATTTTCTTCATATTCAATACAAAGCTTTATCTAGGTAAGGCACAGGACCCAGTCGATTTTGGTGACCTTCACATAATTTTCAAGGTCACAGAGACACTTGAAGATTTGAGCATGTTAACCAGAATTGTCAGCAAGATATTTCAAAAACAGTTGACTGGATCTTCTTCAAGGACTTTCAAGACTTCCCTTAAATGTTTTTCGAAAAGCAATTTCTTTAGTACTATTTTTGCATAATTTAATACACTATGACATTCATGTCAAAGTCAGTCTTGAAAATATGTGTGTGTTCGAACACCTAAAGAGCAAGACATCAAGAGAGGTTGACTGGTCATGATTTTGTTGACATTTAACTTAAACTTTCATTACATTATAAGTTTGATTTGATAAAATGCGGTGGGGAATTATGTCACCTTAGTGACAATGCTTGTTAGTAAGTTAAATTATGTCTACTCTATTCGAGCTTGGATGTATAATTATTTATGTTTATGCATTATGTTTCACTATATGAAACATGACAACGTAAGAATACCTAAAAAGTAAATTCAAACTTTTCTATTGTGTTTGAATTCTTTGTATGTCCTTGAAATTTCGTATATTGTTTCCTATTTATTAGGAAGTTGAAAAAACTATAATCTACAGTAACCTCTAAACCATTACATCTAATTCAGTCAATGTGCATACGAAGTATTTTAGTATCCATTCCAAATGACGAGTACCAGCCAGTTACCTCTGTAAAACATCATAATTCCCTTTTGTCACCGACATGTGTTCATTAGCCAAACGCTGTACAAGCCTATGATAATGATTAGCAAGTGCTATGAAAACACTTTAAATACTTCTTCTGATTGACACTGAAGGTAGCATCTCTCGTAAGAAAAGCTAATATTTCTCAGTAGTACTAAATTGGTTGAAATAATAGGTACAGTGCGATTTTTAAAAGTACAACACACATGTGCGTCTCTTGCTGAATAAGAGGTGCTTTCTGTTGACGGATATATGTGGCTCTCGCTGTGAGAAACTGCCAGTTACCTGCCCCATAAACACGTCTCTCGCTGTGAGGAGCTGATTAATTTGCCCCTTTATTGTCTCTCGGCCTTAATGAGTTAAGTGCTATGAAACTAATTTTAAAGTTTTTCATGGATTGGCATAGCTGGATAATAAAAACGGCCCAAACAGTGACAACTGAGTGTGACTACCATTTCTACTGAGATCTGAGGATGGTTGAACAATCATATACTTCTTGCTGCATATTGTGAGTTTAACGGCTCAAATGGTAGATTATGGTTAAATAACAAGCAGGAGAAGATGATAATGATAGGATATTTATATAGTGTACATAGCCTCGCAACTAGAACATGCTCGCAACTAGTACATGCTCGCAACTAGTACATGCTCGCAACTAGTACATGCTCAAGGCGCTTGAGTGTTCCCTTGATTGACGGACGTCTTTTTTCTGGCTTTCTTTTAACCATCTCAACTCCCTGGGCAGTATTCAACTCATGCAGCCTGTTAGGCACAGCGTGTCACACAGCCTCATCCTCTCAAGGTACTGGGACACAGAGTCACAGTATTTTGTCCAACCATACTGCACGTTACTATACCTGCAACTAGGTGTCTGCACGTGTTTGTGTGTCCAATATCTGGTCACCTACTGTCAGATGAGTGGGTTCTTTTAAGTGCACAGTGTACTGCATACAAGGCGTTGTGACAACCCTTTGTTTACACCAGGTCACAAGTGGGGATTGATCCAGGCACCTTTCACTTACAAGCGTGGCACCTTAGTTACACCAGGTCACAAGTGGGGATTGATCCAGGCACCTTTCGCTTACAAGCGTGGCACCTTAGTTACACCAGGTCACAAGTGGGGATTGATCCAGGCACCTTTCGCTTACCAGCGTGGCACCTTAGTTACACCAGGTCACAAGTGGGGATTGATCCAGGCACCTTTCACTTACCAGCGTGGCACCTTAGTTACACCAGGTCACAAGTGGGGATTGATCCAGGCACCTTTCACTTACAAGCGTGGCACCTTAGTTACACCAGGTCAAGCGTGGGGATTGATCCAGGCACCTTTAAACACAAAGCGTGGCACCTTAGTTACACCAGGTCAAAAGTGGGGATTGATCCAGGCACCTTTAAACACAAGCGTGGCACCTTAGTTGAACCAGGTCACAAGTGGGGATTGATCCAGGCACCTTTAAACACCAGCGTGGCACCTTAGTTACACCAGGTCACAGGTGGGGATTGATCCGGCACCTTTGGCTACCAGCGTGGCACCTTAGTTACACCAGGTCACAAGTGGGGATTGATCCGGCTTTAAACACCAGCGTGGCACCTTAGTTACACCAGGTCACAAGTGGGGATTGATCCGGCACCTTTCGTTTACCAGCATGGCACCTTAGTTACACCAGGTCACAGGTGGGGATTGATCCGGCACCTTTCGCTTACAAGCGTGGCACCTTAGTTACACCAGGTCACAGGTGGGGATTGATCCGGCACCTTTGGCTTACAAGCGTGGCACCTTAGTTACACCAGGTCACAGGTGGGGATTGATCCGGCACCTTTGGCTTACAAGCGTGGCACCTTAGTTACACCAGGTCACAAGTGGGGATTGATCCGGCACCTTTGAGCGTGGCACCTTAGTTACACCAGGTCACAAGTGGGGATTGATCCGGCACCTTTCGCGTACAAGCGTGGCACCTTAGACAGCACGTCTGGTCCAGGAAGCAACTCCAGTTCATAACTGAGTGGACAGGTTGACCGACAGTATTATTAACCGGAAGTCATAGTCCCTGTTATGATACCTTATCATACAGCAACAGGAATGATTATCAAGTGTTGTCATAACACCCAAACTCAGGTGTTTATCTTGTGAGATAGCATTTGGTCACTGTTTGTTTATGGTTGTTTTCCTTGGTTGTCTTGGGGTTTTCTCTGGGCCACCAGTTGGCATTCAGCAATCAAGTGTCAGTGTGTTATTTACAAGACATTTGAACATTATCAACAATAATAATATTTCTTAGAATACTATTTTTAACATATTTAGGTCAAGGCCCATCGCTGCATTGCCTGGAATCGTAGAAATCTTACTTAGGTTCCCTAGGAAAAACTATGAGGTTCACATTTCTGATATGAGAGGTAAAAGTTGGTTAATAAATGTTTGGTATGTGGAGCAACATGTGTATATCTGCAGACAGCTAGAGATAATAGTCAAGTATTCATACTTCCACCATTTATGATTTTGAATTGATCTTTGATCACAATTGTAAATCCTTTTTATCCCCCCGGCATGTAATGCGGGGATATAGTCCCCATCTCATCTGTCTGTCCACCCGTCCATAATCATTAGTTTCTGGAGCGTAACTCAAAAACCGTTCAATATTTTTCCACAAAAAACTGGGAAATATAACAAACAGAACCTAAAGCCTTTTGCTATTTACAGTTTCTCATTATTATTTTTATTGGTTTCCATAGAAACTTGTAGGTCTTAGTCTCAAAAGGGAGGGGTGGACTTCGTTTCTGGAGCACAACTTGAAAACCAGTCAATATCTTTCAACAAAACCTAGCAGATATATGACACAGATCCCAAAGTGGTGTTTTTTGCTATTTACAGATTTTTGTCATTTTAGTGTTTGCTTAATTTCCATGGAATGTGTTGGACTTGGTCTAAAAATAATCAAGTTGGACTTTAAGTAACTGTCAGATGATTTGTTCTTTCAAATATGTGGGGCCGGCGGGGTGGATTTGCCATCTTCTGATGACTCTTGTTACAGTTGAACTTAGATGTGTTTGTGCAAGTATAATGCTAAAATTGTAAGGTAATTGTAAAGTAGACATTTAAAATGTCATCTAAGATTGATTGTAATCAAGATTGCTCTGTGCAGTCCAGATCTCAGTGGGCCAAACAGGAATTGAGGGATTGAGGGATTGGGTGGGCCAAACAGGAATTGAGGGAGCCAGCTCTCACTCATGTGAACAGCAGATGACACAGATCTCAGTGGGCCAAACAGGAATTGAGGGATTGGGTCGCCAGCTCTCACTCATGTGAACAGCAGATGACACAGATCTCAGTGGGCCAAACAGGAATTGAGGGATTGGGTCACCAGCTCTCACTCATGTGAACAGCAGATGACACTGATCTCAGTGGGCCAAACAGGAATTGAGGGATTGGGTCACCAGCTCTCACTCATGTGAACAGCAGATGACACAGATCTCAGTGGGCCAAACAGGAATTGAGGGATTGGGTCACCAGCTCTCACTCATGTGAACAGCAGATGACACAGATCTCAGTGGGCCAAACAGGAATTGAGGGATTGGGTCACCAGCTCTCACTCATGTGAACAGCAGATGACACTGATCTCAGTGTGCCAAACAGGAATTGAGGGATTGGGTCACCAGCTCTCACTCATGTGAACAGCAGATGACACAGATCTCAGTGGGCCAAACAGGAATTGAGGGATTGGGTCACCAGCTCTCACTCATGTGAACAGCAGATGACACAGATCTCAGTGGGCCAAACAGGAATTGAGGGATTTGGGTCACCAGCTCTCACTCATGTGAACAGCAGATGACACAGATCTCAGTGGGCCAAACAGGAATTGAGGGATTGGGTCAGCCAGCTCTCACTCATGTGAACAGCAGATGACACAGATCTCAGTGGGCCAAACAGGAATTGAGGGATTGGGTCACCAGCTCTCACTCATGTGAACAGCAGATGACACAGATCTCAGTGGGGCCAAACAGGAATTGAGGGATTGGGTGCCAGCTCTCACTCATGTGAACAGCAGATGACACAGATCTCAGTGTGCCAAACAAGGGAATTGAGGGATTGGGTCACCAGCTCTCACTCATGTGAACAGCAGATGACACAGATCTCAGTGGGCCAAACAGGAATTGAGGGATTGGGTCACCAGCTCTCACTCAGGAATTGAGGGAACATGTGAACAGCAGATGACACAGATCTCAGTGGGCCAAACAGGAATTGAGGGATTGGGTCACCAGCTCTCACTCATGTGAACAGCAGATGACACAGATCTCAGTGGGCCAAACAGGAATTGAGGGATTGGGTCACCAGCTCTCACTCATGTGAACAGCAGATGACACTGATCTCAGTGGGCCAAACAGGAATTGAGGGATTGGGTCACCAGCTCTCACTCATGTGAACAGCAGATGACACAGATCTCAGTGGGCCAAACAGGAATTGAGGGATTGGGTCACCAGCTCTCACTCATGTGAACAGCAGATGACACAGATCTCAGTGGGCCAAACAGGAATTGAGGGATTGGGTCACCAGCTCTCACTCATGTGAACAGCAGATGACACAGATCTCAGTGGGCCAAACAGGAATTGAGGGATTGGGTCACCAGCTCTCACTCATGTGAACAGCAGATGACACTGATCTCAGTGGGCCAAACAGGAATTGAGGGATTGGGTCACCAGCTCTCACTCATGTGAACAGCAGATGACACTGATCTCAGTGGGCCAAACAGGAATTGAGGGATTGGGTCGCCAGCTCTCACTCATGTGAACAGCAGATGACACTGATCTCAGTGGGCCAAACAGGAATTGAGGGATTGGGTCACCAGCTCTCACTCATGTGAACAGCAGATGACACAGATCTCAGTGGGCCAAACAGGAATTGAGGGATTGGGTCACCAGCTCTCACTCATGTGAACAGCAGATGACACTGATCTCAGTGTGCCAAACAGGAATTGAGGGATTGGGTCACCAGCTCTCACTCATGTGAACAGCAGATGACACAGATCTCAGTGGGCCAAACAGGAATTGAGGGATTGGGTCACCAGCTCTCACTCATGTGAACAGCAGATGACACTGATCTCAGTGGGCCAAACAGGAATTGAGGGATTGGGTCACCAGCTCTCACTCATGTGAACAGCAGATGACACAGATCTCAGTGGGCCAAACAGGAATTGAGGGATTGGGTCACCAGCTCTCACTCATGTGAACAGCAGATGACACTGATCTCAGTGTGCCAAACCAGAAACCCGGAATTGAGGGATTGGGTCACCAGCTCTCACTCATGTGAACAGCAGATGACACAGATCTCAGTGGGCCAAACAGGAATTGAGGGATTGGGTCGCCAGCTCTCACTCATGTGAACAGCAGATGACACAGATCTCAGTGGGCCAAACAGGAATTGAGGGATTGGGTCACCAGCTCTCACTCATGTGAACAGCAGATGACACTGATCTCAGTGTGCCAAACAGGAATTGAGGGATTGGGTCACCAGCTCTCACTCATGTGAACAGCAGATGACACTGAATGTGAGATAGTGACTCGTGTGAGTTAATGACACTGAATGTGAGATAGTGAGTGAGTTAATGACACACCCAGTATAATCACAGCATGGCGACCCAGTGTGGGAATATTCGCACAGTTCACTGAGCTGAAGGAGAACTCACATGAGCAACAAACGGTAGAAATCAGGCGATCATGTTATCAAGATGATGTTCCAACAGAGGAAAAACCATCATGTTTGTTGGCAACACTGGACTTCGCAAAAGAAGATCTTTATCCAAATATCCATGTTGCCCTCAAAACACTTGTGACAATGCCAGTGTCTTCAGTGTCAACTGCTGAGCGTTCTTTCAGCGCAATGAGACGTGTTAAAACAATGAGATGTGTTAAAACGTATCTCAGGTCAAGAATGGTAACGGAACGGCTTAATGCACTTGCACTACTTCATATTCACAGGGATTTTGATGTCAGCTTTGATAAGGTGGTGGATGATCTTGCAGAAGGGAAAACCCACAAACTGGCACTTCTCTTCAAGTAGAGTTGATGCATACAGTAACTGATGCCAGCAGATCTGTTCCTGACTGTTTCAAACAATTTCATAGATGATTGAGCTCTTCTTGTTTTTGTTCTCTTTACAACTTTCCTGTATTTCTGAGAGTTTCGGTTTTATTGTTTTGTGGTTTATTGTACGTGTACTTTATGGGTTCATGCTTATCAGTTGACCTGATACTGTGTTTGAAAAAGTAACAAATTGTTTCACTGCGTTATTATTATTCCAGATAATTTTTCTTAGAACCTGCTTGTTAGGTTCGCCTGATGTTTTGGTCAGTTTGCTGTAATCGTTCATCAAAACCTTAAGCTGTGCTTACAACTAAAATTTTCCTAGTTACGCACCTGTACGAGACTGTACAGACCTTTTCTTTTTTTTGAAATCCTTACTAAAGACTCACTTCTCCAGAGTAGCCAGTGATTACAAACAATAAGCCATTGAATGGTGTTCCATGTATCTCGAGTCTTCATTATCTCTCAGTGTCTGTTGTTTATATATTTCTATGTCTTGTGCTTTGAGCATGTTGTACATGGAAAATAGCGCATTACAAGCATGCTGTTATAAAATTAGATATAGATGCTCTGCTATCTGATTACTTAATGTATCTTTAATGTTGTCCTGATACGTTTGCAGGGAAGCTCTGTTGGCAGTGAGGCCAGTGAGGACGTGAGAGTGCTGGGCCCCCCAGCCAAATACAGAAGGTAAAGACACCCTGCATTCTCTGTCTGATACTAACAGCTTGGCCTGTTGTCCTAGGTACTGGCAGTTGGCAGTATGTAGTTGTCATGTGCATACTGAATGATGCATCTTGTCTAACACTTTCTACTTCCTTCAATTTACCATACATTGTCATGTATAAGGCCAGTTATTCATAGCTGAAATGAAGGGCTGAGAAAGGGAGTGGCCTTATACACTGGGTGGCCTTAAACACTGGGTGGCCTTAAACACTGGGTGGCCTTATACACTGGGTGGCCTTAAAGACTGGGTGGCCTTATACACTGGGTGGCCTTAAAGACTGGGTGGCCTTAAAGACTGGGTGGCCTTATACACTTGGTGGCCTTATACACTGGGTGGCCTTATACACTTGGTGGCCTTATACACTGGGTGGCCTGATGCAGTGAGTGGCCTTATGCACTGGGTGTCCTTATACACTGGGTGGCCTTATACACACTGGGTGGCCTTATGCACTGGGTGGCCTTATACACTGGGTGGCCTTAAACACTGGGTGGCCTTAAACACTGGGTACCTTTATACACTGGGTGGCCTTAAACACTGGGTGGCCTTATACACTGGGTACCTTTATACACTGGGTGCCTTATACACTGGGTGGCCTTATACACTGGGTGGCCTTAAACACTGGGTGGCCTTATACACTGGGTGGCCTTAAACACTGGGTGGCCTTAAACACTGGGTGGCCTTATACACTGGGTGGCCTTAAAGACTGGGTGCCTTATACACTTGGTGGCCTTATACACTGGGTGGCCTTAAACACTGGGTGGCCTTATACACTTGGTGACCTTATACACTGGGTGGCCTTAAACACTGGGTGGCCTTATACACTGGGTGGCCTTAAACACTGGGTGGCCTTAAACACTGGGTGGCCTTATACACTGGGTGGCCTTAAAGACTGGGTGGCCTTAAACACTGGGTGGCCTTAAACACTGGGTGGCCTTATACACTGGGTGGCCTTATACACTGGGTGGCCTTAAACACTGGGTGGCCTTAAACACTGGGTGGCCTTATACACTGGGTGGCCTTAAAGACTGGGTGGCCTTATACACTGGGTGGCTTTAAACACTGGGTGGCCTTATACACTGGGTGGCCTTAAACACTGGGTGGCCTTATACACTGGGTGGCCTTAAACACTGGGTGGCCTTAAAATAAAAGGTGGCCTTATACACTTGGTGGCCTTATACACTGGGTGGCCTTATACACTGGGTGGCCTTATGCACTGGGTGGCCTTAAACACTGGGTGGCCTTATACACTGGGTGGCCTTATACACTGGGTGGCCTTAAACACTGGGTGGCCTTAAACACTGGGTGGCCTTATACACTGGGTGGCCTTAAACACTGGATGGCCTTATACACTGGGTGGCCTTAAACACTGGGTGGCCTTATACATTGGGTGGCCTTAAACACTGGGTGGCCTTAAACACTGGGTGGCCTTATACACTGGGTGGCCTTAAAAACTGGGTGGCCTTATACACTGGGTGGCCTTAAACACTGGGTGGCCTTATACACTGGGTGGCCTTATACACTGGGTGGCCTTAAACACTGGGTGGCTGGCCTTATACACTGGGTGGCCTTAAACACTGGGTGGCCTTAAAATAAAAGGTGGCCTTATACACTTGGTGGCCTTTATACACTGGGTGGCCTTATACACTGGGTGGCCTTATGCACTGGGTGGCCTTATACACTGGGTGGCCTTATACACTGTGGTTGGCCTTATACACTGGGTGGCCTTATGCACACTGGGTGGCCTTAAACACTGGGTGGCCTTATACACTGGGTGGCCTTAAACACTGGATGGCCTTATACACTGGGTGGCCTTAAACACTGGGTGGCCTTATACATACACTGGGTACACTGGGTGAATACTGGGTGGCCTTATACACTGGGTGGCCTTATACACTGGGTGGCCTTAAACACTGGGTGGCCTTATACACTGGGTGGCCTTAAACACTGGGTGGCCTTATACACTGGGTGGCCTTATACACTGGGTGGCCTTATACACTGGGTGGCCTTATACACTGGGTGGCCTTATACACTGGGTGGCCTTAAACACTGGGTGGCCTTATACACTGGGTGGCCTTATACACTGGGTGGCCTTATACACTGGGTGGCCTTATACACTGGGTGGCCTTAAACACTGGGTGGCCTTATACACTGGGTGGCCTTATACACTGGGTGGCCTTATACACTGGGTGGCCTTATACACTGGGTGGCCTTATACACTGGGTGGCATAAAAAAATTGGTGGCCTTATACACTGGGTGGCATAAAAAATTGGGTGGCCTTATACATTTGGTGGCCTTATACACTGGGTACCTTTATACACTGGGCGGCCTTAAACAGTTGGTGGCCTAAAAAAATGGGTGGCCTTATACTGGGTGGCCTTATACACTGGGTACCATTATACACTTGGTGGCTTATACACTGGGTGGCATAAAAAATGGGTGGCCTTATACACTAGGTGGCCTTATACACTGGGTGGCCTTAAACAATGGGTACCTTTGTACACTTGGTGGCTTATACATTGAGTGGCCTTAAACACTGGGTGGCCCTATACACTGGGTGGCCTTATACACTGGGTGGCCTTATACACCGGGTAACTTTATACACTGGGTGGCATAAAAAATTGGGTGGCCTTATACACTGGGTGGCCATATACACTGGGTGGCCTTATACACACTGGGTGGCCTTATACACTGGGTGGCCTTATACACACTGGGTGGCCTTATACACTGGGTGGACTTATACACTGGGTGGACTTATACACTGGGTACCTTTATACACTGGGTGTCATAAAAAATTGTGTGGCCTTATACACTGGGTGGCCTTATACACGGGTAACTTTATACACTGGGTGGCATAAAAAATTGGGTGGCCTTATACACTGGGTGGCCTTATACACTGGGTGGCCTTATACACTGGGTGGCTTTATACACTTGGTGGCTTATACCTTGGTGGCCTTACACACTGGGTGGCCTTAAACACTGGGTGGCCTTATACACTGGGTGGACTTATACACTGGGTACCTTTATACACTGGGTGGCATAAAAAATTTGGTGGCCTTATACACTGGGTGGCCTTATACACACTGGGTGGCCTTATACACTGGGTGGCCATATACACTGGGTACCTTTATACACTGGGTGTCATAAAAAATTGTGTGGCCTTATACACTTAGTGGCCTTATACACTGGGTGGCCATATACACTGGGTGGCCTTATACACTGGGTACCTTTATACACTGGGTGGCATTATAGATTGTGTGGCCTTATACACTTGGTGGCCTTATACACTGGGTGGCCTTATACACACATGGTGGCCTTAAACACTGGGTAACTTTATGCACTGGGTGGCATAAAAAATTGGGTGACCTTATACACTGGGTGGCCTTATACACACTGGGTGGCCTTATACACTGGGTAACTTTATACACTGGCTGGCTTATACACTGGCTGGCTTATACACTGGGTGGCCCTATACACTGGGTGGCCTTATACACTGGGTAACTTTATACACTGGGTGGCATAAAAAATTGGGTGGCCTTATACACTGGGTGGCCTTATACACTGGGTGGCCTTATACACACTGGGTGGCCTCATGCACTGGGTGACCTTATACACTGGGTGGCCTTATACACTGGGTAACTTTATACACTGGGTGGCATAAAAAATTGGGTGGCCTTATACACTGGGTGGCCTTATACACTGGGTGGCCTTATACACACTGGGTGGCCTTATACACTGGGTGGCCTTATACACTGGGTGACCTTATACACTGGGTGGCCTTATACACACTGGGTGGCCTAATGCACTGGGTGGCCTTATACACTGGGTGGCCTTATGCACTGGGTGGAAGATCCCCCATTTATTTCTGACTGTCTATGTCAACTTGTGTCTAATAGCCAGTAATGTTGTTTAAAATATAACTAAACATTTCATTAAAAAACTATTTTGATATGTAAGCTTCCACTGCATGTGAATTCCTTGTTCATGCTTTACATATTAAATGAGCCTAGCCTTGATTACAATTGACCAGCTGGTTGACACAGTGGAAAACAACAATCTCCACCATCGCAAAGCCAGAAGTAAGCAGGATAGGGACCTTCTCAACTTTTCCTACAAAATTTGGCATAACAGTTAATTTTACAAATATATTCTTTTAAATAATCACTGCAGTTCCGTAAATATATATCTATTTATATTACTGTATAGAAATAAATTAAGGAGTCGCAAAAACTGAACCAAATTAAGGTACATTTTCATGACTTGAGACGTCCCCTGTCAGTCGCCCATGTGACCTGGCACGTGACACCTACTCTGTGAAATAATTTCCCTCACTTTTTTCATAGCAAGTTTTGGAACGGGCATGTAGTGGAGACTGTTGAATAAACATCTCCCAGTTAGACAAAACTAAGCCTAGTAAATTAAAACATATATGAATAACAATTATTATTAGTATGACCAATTTGGTGTTGCACTGTGTCAGCACACGTCTGAGCATCGCATAGGACATTATTGTGAAATGATTTTATACACAAAGAACTTTTAGTTAAGCACTCCCTGACATATCTCATGATTGAATGAGCCCCGATCTTATCGAATTGGAGCATATCTGGGACATGACTGGTCGTCGTGTGCAACAAGGCATGAGGGGATCCTCCTGTACAGAACCTGGCACAATTGGAAGCTGCTTTACACTAGAAATGGCGTAGACTCTAAATCATCTTCTTCTTTTTTTCTGAACTGTAGGCCAGAGGCCCATAGTAAACATAAAAATAAGAAATACAGTTCGCTCTACCACCATGTATCGTGTAATAAAGCACACTTTCGCCCTGAACTATTATAGTTAAAGTACGAGGACACTTACATCCGAGTGCTTTAAGGTTATAATAGTTCAGTGCTTTATTACACGATACATGGTGGTAGAGCGAACTGTAGTTCCTTTCTAAGATGCCAAATTCAATACTTGTT